TATTTATTTAAAAAATTAATTTATTCTCAAAAGTTTAAAAAAAATATTGTATAAGAATTTAATTATTTTCAGAACTATTAATTTTTTAATCAAATTTCTGGAAAGGATTCAATAATTTTTTTTAAAGAATTCATTTACATATTCTCAAAAGATTTTATACAATGTATAAGAATTCAATTAATTTTTTATAAATAATGGATTTCTTCGCTAGAATTTAATTATTTTCAGTACTATTTTTATGAAATTTCTCGAAAGAGTTCAGTTATTTTCAAAAATTTTAATACAATTCTGGGAAGAATTCAATTATTGAATTCAAAAGAATTTAATTTACTATCAATAATTTTAATAAAATTATTAATTACAATTATTTTGAAAACTTAAAAGAAATTCTTCATAAAATTAAATTACTTTCAAAATTTTCAATGAAAATTATTAAAGAAAATTGTTATTTTCAAAAAATTTAAATAAATTCTTCAAAACAATTTTTAAATTACTTTAAAAAATTTTAATAAAATTCTTGGAAACAATTCGATCATTTTCAATTCAATTTTTTTTTGTTCTGATATTCTTTAAGGAATTCAACTATTCTCTATAGAATTTTATTTAAATTCCTAAAAAGTATTTAATTATTTTTAAAAAATTAAAGAAAAATCTTTACAAGAATTCAATAATTTCCATAAATAATAAAATACTTTGCAGGAATTAAATTATTTTTCAAATTAAGGGGCTGGATGCTATAAGGAGATACGCGCCATTTAGTTAACATGGCCCCTCAATTGTTTTTAACATTCTTCGAAACAATTTAAATATTTTTAAAAATTGTTACTAAATTCCTTGCATGAATTCAATTATTTTCATAAATAACAACATTTTTCGCAGGAATTCAATTATTTTTAATAATTTCAATTAAATTCTTGAAAAGAATTCAATTATTGACAAAATTTTTAATAACATTCTATAAGAATTCAATTACCTATTTTCAATCGAATTATTTTTAATTATTTTGATAAGTATTTCGCAAAAATTCAATGATTTTCAATAGGTACATTAATTTTAAAATGCAAAGTAGGTATATAAATAGAAAAATTATTTAAAAAGTTAGTAAACAAAGAAGCATATTGAATTAAAAACAATTGAATTTTAAGTGTACTTTCTTTGTTTTCTCAATAATTGAATTCTCAAAGGAATTTCTCAAAATTATTAAAAATAATTGATTTAGAGAAGAATTTTAGTTACAAATTCTAGAAAACAATTAAATTTTAGAGAAGATAGAATAGAAATTTTTAGAAATATGTACCTATGATTTCAATTTTCAAATTAAAAATATTTTTGAAAATTTCAATTTTTAATATTGAATTACAATATTTAAATACATATTTTAAAAAGTTATTAAATTTTTGAATAAATTTAGTTAAAAATTACATATAGCATATTATTGAATGTAGTAAGAATAACAGTTTTAATTTTTAGAAATAATTAAATTTTTTTATTGAATCAAATTTTATGTTTAAAACATTTTATTACAATTTTTAAAAGGTTACTTTTAACATACTTGTTGAAAAAAATTGTAAGTACCAAAAACTTACTTAAAAATAATAGAATTTTTAAAAAATTTAAAACTTAAATTAAAATTGAAATAAGGGAGTTTTTAAATTTTTTTCAGAAATCAAGGAATTAAAAAATCATGACAACCCTGAAACGAGTTAAAATTATTATTGAATTAAGTTGAAATAATAGGACAAATTTTTGAAAATAAGTTTATTTAATATTTCCAGGATAATTAATTGTACTGAAAATTGAAAGAAAAATTGGTTAAAATCGTGTATATAAAATTCACATGTGTAGAAAATACTTTACAATGTTTTCACTTAATGGTACAACTTTCTTTTTCTCGGAACAAATTTATGAATCATTCATCCGGCAGATTATATGAATGCTGCGTTATTTAGAGTTATAATACATATATTGAAGTTTGCAAAAGATCAAAAGATCAGCTTAACAGTTGCGCACAATATTTCATACGGGAATTTTTTTATTGGAAATGTATTTGTAATTGACAGAATTTTTTTTGTTTTTCTTTTGTTTAATAAGTATGAGTTCGCTTGTATAATCGTACCAAATTAGGCACTCAGATCGTAAAATGAAATTCCTTTTTCATATATATTTATGACTTAAAAAAAATAACACAATAATCATTTTTTTATTATTGTTGTTATCGAAAAATTTATTTATTTACTTGTATGAAATTTGTGTGCAAAAAATGTTATTGTGATGAAAATCAAGTGTCGTTGGATCGGAAAAATTTCCATTTCGCCGGGAAATAATTTAGAAAATTGATATTTAGTATTTACCTAAGCATAGATAATATTTTGCACATTCGGATGGTGTCCACACATTGCGAGATAGTGTGTTTGGATTTCTGTAGAATTTACTATCATCAACGCAGGGTGCATTGTGCTCTTGTTCTTGTGATAAAACGCTGGGTACTAAAATAAAAAGTTTATTATTATTTTATTATTTTTCCGTTCGATTTTAAATTTTTCTTTTTCATAATTTCTATTGTATTTTAATAATTTCCATTGGATTACTCAATGTAGATGGAATAGAATTGAAAAAAAACTCTGCTTTAATTGAAGAATTCTTCAATTATTTTCTTTTGGTTCGTGAGTAAGCGGAAGATCATTATGGAATCGTTACTGATATGAATAACATTCTTTTCTCACAATGAATTATTAACAATGGATTTTATAACTGAAATTATGTAACAATTTTTTTTGCACATACAAGAAAGTATTAAATAGGTATACCTAAAGGCTCGCCATAAGGAATAAAAATTAAATTCAGTTTATAAATCTATATATTTATATAAATAAATTATGAGTATGAAAAATTAAATTTCCCAACATATTAATTAAAATTTAATGAGATTATAATATAATTGGACTTTTTTTTTCTTTCCAGTTACCAAATTCGAAGAAGAAGTGTAAAAAAAATAATTAACAATGGATTGACTTTCTCGGATATGTGAATATCGGATTAGTTAATGATGGTGCTGATAATTTACGAACAGGAAAAAAGAAATGCAAGTGCAAGAGTGTTGCATACAATCAATTGACTTGGCCGTTTCTCTTCGCGTGAACGAAAAGGAAGTGAAATTTCCGGTCATTTCAAAGGTATAGAATTCTCTTTTTTTTAATTTCTTATACTGAAACTTAAAAGTAGATCTATTAAGAATATTGAGACGATATAGAATTTTAATTCCAATGGGGAAAACATACATATATATTATGCATGATACGTTCAAATTCGTCATAAAAACTTTCTACGTCCGAGGCATTGACCTCTAACTTACCGAGAGTAGGCCAAGATAATAGAGTATTTTTGAATTTTCGATTCAAGAAAATAATTAATTTGGTTTTTTTTATAATTTCTGTTATTAAAAATTAATTCTTTCCAATTTTTCTAAAATTATTAATTTATAATCATTCTTTCCATTAACAATTGTCAATCAGATAAATAATTAATTTTCCCGTCTAAATAAATTTATAAATGAATAATAATAAATTATTTTTAATTTCTATTGATAAATTAGTAAATTATTTCTAAAACTTAATATTTAAAAATAAAATTCACTTCCACTTTCAAACTACAGTTTGGATGAATTTTAAATGTTTCAAAATAAGCGATAAATTTAAGACCAAATTGGTCGCTTCTCATTTAAGAATCATTAATTGACAATTAATCACTCTTCGAGTAGATAGTATTTAAAAATTAAATGCCATTAAAAGGTTATAAGAAAAGCTTGAATAATTGTTTGATGGGATTAAATTGCGTCACTTGAATTCTCCGTTAAATTTTTAAAGAAATCTTGCTTTTTTTTCTTCACGAATTTTAGTAAACAAATTTCTTTCCAAATTTCAAACTTAATAAAATATTATTAAAATATAATTTAATAAAAAAATGTTCAGTGATAAATTTTTATTGTTTTATTCTGATTGAAAGAAATTATTTAATAGTAATAAAAATAAATTGTTTAAATAGAAATTAAAATGAATTGTTTTAATAGTAATTAAAATGAATTGTTTTAATAGTAATTAAAATGAATTATTTTCACTAGTGATTAAAATGAATTATTTTCACTAGTAATTAAAATAAAAAAATTAAATAAATACACGATTGTAATGAATTAATGAAATTAAATTTTTCGATTATTCAACTCACCGGTAAAGAGAAATAAAGTTATTGGAAATGACACAAAATTTAACATTGTTATTGTTTTGCTTGTAGATTAAAAAAAAAGAGGAGTCAAGGACTGGTGGATAAAAAAAGCCGAAGAATTTCGAGAATAAATTGATAGTTTGTCCACTAAAATCACAACGTAAGAGAAGCTATGGGATTTTTAAGAGAGTTTGTGTAATTTTACTGGTTTCATTGTGGAGACAGTACTAAATCGAGGATGGTATTGAGTACGATGAGAAATTGTAAATTTACCGCACCGAGTAATGTAAGAAGACTGAACAACGCTACGGGGAAAGCGAAAGCAAAAGCGTACCACTTTTTGATCTCGTATGATTCAAGAAAGGATCCATGGTCTCTCAACAATTCGCTTGGGGAAATAAATATACTTTCTTGCTTAACAGCGCTGCTGACAGTTGAATCTGGAAATAATAATTTGAAAATTTCCTCTAAAGGATCAGAAGAAAAATTCGAGTAAGTTTATAAATTTTTTTTTTCATTTTTCTTATTCTCTTCTTATTTGTTCTTTGTAGCATTTTTTTGTTGTATTCTCTTTTGCCCCTTTTATTTTTTTACTACTTTTCTATTTCTATTTTTCTTTTTTCTTTTTTCTTTTTTCTTAGTTTACTTTACAGTAAACTTTTTCTTTTTATTATTATTATTATTATTATTATATCTGAAAATGTCAAAAATTGAGGTAAATTGTTTAAAACAGTTTTTCTGGGATCGCTCATTTATTTAATTTAAAAACGATTTCGTGATTAAATTGCTAGAGCGTTTAGAAGCGCATGTGCTCGGAAAGCGCGTGGCGCGGAATTTTACTTATCCATAAACGTCTCCAACAACCCCGAGGCCTCAGACGATTCTGTTACGCGACACCCACCGAACAGTTCAAATCGAAATCGCGACGCGAATTAATTTATAGTTTCGTGTTTCACATGATCAATAGAAATTATATCAATGACCTACTTCGTCATTATATAGGTGATTAAACTATTTTTTTTCACAAAAAATAAAAAAAAAATAAATTCCTAAAATGCTTGCCTAGAAAAGTTTTACAAACTTTTTCAAAACACTTTTAAAGTCAAAAAAGATTTCTTTTTTTAAAAATTATTATTTTAAGTCTTATTTATCATTTTTTATTATTTTTTTATTATAAAAAGTAATATTTTTACCATTAGTATTATTATTTTTTTGTTTGTAGTCTGTAAAAACTCAGATACCTCAAATAAATCCAAGGTTCAATGTTATTTTTACTATTTTTGTTACTCTTTTTATTATTTATATTACTTTTCTTACTAAAGCAAATTTCATTTTCCCTTTAAAATTTTTATCTATTTACTTTAAAATTTTTTATTTGCAAATTCTTTTGAGAATTTTTTCATTTTAGAGTTTCGTAAAGTATTCTATTTCGAAGTTATGTAAACTTTATTCGATTGTTTTGTTATAAATTGATTTTTTATTCTCTTTAAAAGTTTTCCACTTTCCATAGAAGTATAAATATAAAGATATTCATCTTTATCGGTTTCATTTTAAAGTAGAGAAACGAGAGTAAAAAAGGTTTCAAGTATTTTTTGTTTCTTTTTTTTTTTTTTATTACTCTCGAACACTTGAAAAAAAAAGTTGAAAGACTTTAAGAGTTTTCATCGTCTATAAGAACAAAGCGATTTTTTAAACCCCTCTTTATAAGTTTATTCTTTGAAGATCAGTCGATCAATGACGACTTGAACAAATTTTTACTTTGATATACCGCAAATTATGTTTTCTTTAAAGTTCTGTTAATAATTTAATATTGGAAAGAAAAATTAAATTCGAGTATGAAATTTAAATTTAATTTAATAACAATAATAATAAATTAGAAAAATCGGTAGATTAATAATAAATAAAGTAATTCACAAATGAGTTTGCGAAAATTTCCGGGAAAATTGTAAATATTAAAATAATAATAACATTAATATGTTGTTACAATTATTGAACCGTCATAATTATATACCATGCACCATGTCGACATCTTATCTTTTTTTAAATTTAAATTTACGGTTTATAAATGTTTAAAAATTTTTATAAATTAATTTTGTGAACGACATGCGTTCGTTTAGTTTGTCGAAATGTGGTCTCTTTTTTTGTAAATAATTTTCTCAATTTTTGCCTGATGAGGGCTTTTTTAAGCCGAAACATGTAGCGAAAAATTATAATAATTATGACAAATAAACATCTTTAACCGTACAAGGCCTCTAAAATATTTAAACAATAACATTAATTGTTACTACATTTTTAATGTTATTTTTATTATTATTATTATTATGTTTTCAAATAAAAAAATTATCCTCCTTATAACAAAATTCGAATTTTTTCTTTTTCGTTCTTGAAATATTTTGAAATAACAATTTAAAGATTTACTGAATTTTTACTATTATTGTTATTATTTGTTTTTATTATTTTAATTCGAATTTTAACAGTTTGAAACATATTGCAAATTTTAACGCAATTATTTTGAAATAATATTCAGGAATAGAGTAAAAAATGAAATTTATTGGAGTGTGGAATATTTTTTGATTTTAAGATACTTCAGTTTATTAATATAAATGTTGAAGAATATTATAAATTAGATGAGGAAGTGTAGGATTTACTTCACTTGATATTAGTAAAGTGTTGGCGATGCTAGTGAAAACTATTTTCAATAATAGATGCGTTTGAGGAATATTTTCCTTGATGATCATTTTTCACGTCAATCAAACATTTTCAAATAATGTTTTTAGAAATTTCGAAACAAGTGATGGCACGTGTATTTCAGTGACAATTTAATTCTTCAAACAATTTTCTTTTGCTTTATTTTTGTTAAATATATAAAATTGTACGCTTTTAATAACCAAAAAGCTGCAACTGTGCGAAGAAAATGTCAAATAAAATTATTCTTGATAGGTTTATAAATTGCAGGTATGATTCTTTTGAGATGATAAAATACTCTTATTTTTTTACTAAATATTTAGGTAGCTATTTTTTGTTTTTTGAATTTTTTATATATTTGTATTTTTTAATATTTTTATTTGCTAATTTTTTTCAACTTCGTTCTATCATTTTTTAAAGTTTAAATTTTATTGCTTTTGCATTTTTTTTATTATTCTTTTCAATGTTTCTTTTCGTTTATTATTTTTCTTTACTTTCGTTATTTTTTATTTTACTTTAATTTGTTATTCACTTCTATCGAAAAATTCAGTCTAATTATAGAATTTGATTAACATTGAGAAAGAAGTGAAATACAAAGATAATTTCGCTTATCTTCTGTATGAGTTCGTTGAAAAAGGTTTTTAATTTTTTTTATCTGCAAAGAATTGTTACTTATTTGTCATTCGAAATAAGTAAAACTAATGAGAGTTTTAAAAAACTAAATCTTTGAATATATATATATATATATAATTTCAGAAATTGTTTCTTTTTTTTCCTTCATTTTACTGCAATAAACTAATGCACTGTCCACTTTCATTCGTTTCTGTAAGTCTGGACAATAAATTAAAAAGCTTACCTAGAGTTATGTCCGTAACATTTATGTAAACGCGTACATTTTTCTGATTCAAAAATAATTCTGTTCCATATTTTTCATAAAGAAGAGATTTCTCGCGAAATAAATTCGTGTTATGTAAACAAATAAATTTCAAAGAAAAAATTTTGGAAAATTAGTATTATTGATTGATTGATTAATTTATTATTTATTTATTCAATTTTCAAAGTGAAAAATTAAAAGAAATATGGAAATTTGAAATTTCAGGGGAAAATAGATATCAAGTAGCTATATTAATTTGTGACGGTCTTTTTTGATTATTTGGTAAATATATTGTTTCGAATTAAGTGAGAGAGTAATTAATTAATTAAAGTAACAAAAGTAAATATTAATTTGTAATGTGAGAAATTTTTTTCAAAGGCATTTCTCTCAGATGTTTAAACTTCCTTTTATGTCAAGCGTACGTACGACAATCGATCCATCAACGATCTAGGTTGTGACCTAAGAAAATATCTTGCCTAAACTTAAGGGAAAAATGCAAAAAAAAAAGAAAGAAAGAAAGAAAGAAAAAGAAAAACACCGAGTAAACTTCAATGAACGTCAGACTAAATTTTTTATTTTTTCGTATATTATAGATACAGACGAGACATTTGAACAAACTTGTTTCCATTTGCCTCTTCAGTTACCTACTGAATATAATATATTCACAAAAATTCTGTATTCAAATATTTACTCAATATTTTATTGAAAATTAAAATCTAAATAAATAATAGTTTCTTAATATTTTCTTTCTTTCATTTTATTTTCTTCCAGACGAATGAAAATTGATAATACATTTGAAATATTGATAAATACTTTTTTTAAATTGCAAATTTTCATTTTCTCCAATTGACAATAAAATTTAAAGAGTCGAGAAGATATGTTCGGGTGGGAAATAATTCCAATTCTATGAATTTCTTGAGACGGTATATTCTAGCGCGTAGTGCGCACTTATATTATTAGAAAATGGTCCGAAACTGTGTTAATGAATAATAACTGAGATTTCTCTATTAAAAATGAAAATATGCCTCGAATTTAAAAATTAAATTTCGTTCTTGCCAAGAGCGTTTCAAAGCTTATTTGTTATTCATATTCTGAAGTATCTTGAATCACTTTTAACACACATGCTTGCACCTCTTTGTAAATATTGTCAGCAGCTTTTGATACTTGGGTTTTGAAAGTTCAAATTGCGCTTTCACATGAATCATCAAGATAGGGAACAAATTAAATTGCATGATATACATGTCAGTTACATTCGATAGAACATCTATTTAATGAAATTAAAAAGACATTCTTATAAACTTTCGGCAAATTTAGTACATAATAATATTAATAATAAACTATCTATCTTCAATAGTCGATTAACTTTGCTTTTTTGTTTCACAATTTTTTTCAAAATTTTTCCTTTCTAATGTTTTGAACACCTATTAAAATTAATGTATTAAACACAATAGAATTCTCAAAACAAATTTTATTCCTACAATATTTAAAAATAAATTAATTCATTCGAAGAATGAAATTAAATTAATTATATAAATTTTTCAAAATAATTGAATTCTTTTGGGGAATTTTATTAAAATTATTGTATTCAAATTAATTCAACTCCAACGAAGAATTTTATTATTTATGAGCATAATAGAATTAACGCGAAGAATTTGATTACAATTTTGGAAAACAATTGAATTCATTCGAAAAATTTTCTTAAAATAAATTGTTAATAATAATTGAATCTTTTCGAGAAATTCTATTCAAATTGTATTAAAAATAACTGAATTTCTATAAAGAATTGTATTAGAAAATTTTTAAATAATTTAATTCTTTTCAAAAATTTTATTAAATTAATTGTAATAAAAGTAATTTAAATCTTGCAAAGAACAGACTATATTATTTGTTAAAATTCAAATAATTAAATTCTTGTCTTGAATTTTATTCAAATTTTTGAAAATAATTCAATTATTGAGAAGAATTTGATTATTTATGTTAATAACTGAATTCCTGCAAAGAATTTTATTATTATTTATAAAATTAATTGAATTCTTACAACGAATTATATTAAAAATATTTAAAGTCATTGAAATCTTGCAAAAAATCTTGCCTTGAATTTTATTCAAATTTTTGAAAATAATTAAATTTTATTGTTTTATAAATTCTATTAAAATTGGTGAAAATAATTATTGAATTCTTGAGAAGAATTTGATTATTTATGTAAATAATTGAATTCCTGTGACGAATTTTATTATTTTTAAAAATAATTGAATACCTGCGAAGAATTTTATTATTTATCATAATAAATTAATGTATGATCAAAAAATTTTATTAAAATTTTGTTTAAATAATTTAATTTTTTCGAAAATTGTGTTAAAATTTTATCTTAAATAGGTAATTGAATTCGGGCGAAAAATTTTATTTTTTATCATAATAATTAAATTTATTAAAAGAATTTTAT